ACAGTACTTAAAATGTTCAGAAAAAATCTTCAAGTGGTCCAACAGTTATACTCTGCTATATTATTGTTTGCTGACAACCTAATCAAGCATTTTCAAGACTAAAAATAGAAAACAGGCTGACCTTGATAAACAATAGGCAAATGCCAGAACAGTTGACAATGATCTTATAAAATCCAAAAGACGTTGCTTTACAATCTGGCTGGCTTCTGTAGGTAGAACAACTGGATCCAATGCCCTGCAAGAAAACCACTATGATCAGTACATTACCTAACTGGAATAGGCTTCACGTCAAAAATTAAAAAAAAATTATTATTTCTCCAATGTTCTGTTGTGAGGGAACTTCAGGGCCCATTTGGAACTTTTTTCATGTTTGGTTTCAGTTTTTAATTTTTGTTAGAAATAGAGGGAAAATATATGGGGTTGGCAGTAGGAGAGAGGAGGGAGAAACGAAGGAGAACATATGAAACAAAAAATTGAAAAAGAAACTACTTAAAATTATATCAAATTTATAGTTTTCATTTTATGAACCATTTCAAATATAATTCTTCCACCTCCCTCCCGCCACCCTTCTTAATTCCTCCTTTCTCACATATATCTCTCTCTCTAACCAAAAACCAAAACCGAATTCAAAAAGACCCTTAGTCACCTGTGTTTTATCTTTATGGGGTACATGCACTAATGCCTTAAAACAGTTCTGGAATACATACAGTGCTGGAAGGAGAAGTTTGGTTGATGAGGAAGTAGAGTGGTTTCAAGGCTGTTCCACCTTTATCATAATGATCACATAAATGAAGGAAAATAAAATAGTCAAAATTTTAATGGTGTTGAGTTCTCTTTAATAACCCAAAGGTTCTAAACCCATTGTTTGACTGAATTTATCCATTTTAGACAGTATTCCTCCTAATCTTCTTCAGAGCTTTTAGATTTTCTCATTTTTCTAACTGTAAATTTTGTTTTGGTGGAGGGACTTCCCATGAAGAAGATAAGACATAAAATTATATAATCCAGAAAAATACAACATAGAGAAACCTGCATATGAGTATTGCTCCCATCCATAGCAGCATAGGTTGAATATACGAGGTTGTAACATAATGAGTATTACTCTTTTTCCAACTACCATCACTTTTCTGCAGAATAGAATGAAAAATTGGATAACATTATCAGCATCAGGTGTTTGTCCAATTCATAAACACAGGCAAAATGAACTGCACTGTATTATTTAAAGCTAAAAAGAACACACAAAAAGATAAACATACATGAAGTATCAGATTTCTGCTCAGGCGCATAAGTGGTGCAAGACCCCATATGGCAAAGGTAATAATGCCAACTGATGGAATCAATTTGAAGACAAGAGGACAACCTTGCAAAGCATTATATGACCTGCATAATAAAAGGAATGACTGTTTATAAAATTTAGCAAAGAAGATTCCACAAATCACAAATGTAGAGCACTAAAGATTACAGCATTTGACATCATGCACAACTGATAGAGACATGAAAGCCTGCATTTAAAATGCACCAGCTGAACAACAGAGAACACGAGAAACTATTAAGCAAGCAAAAACACCAAGATATCCGAACTTGATATCCCTCTACTTATCAGACTTTAGTATTCATATCTAAGTAGTTTTATTGCAATCAACCATCACTACTAGAAATTGAAATACTATTTTGAGCAGTCTGTTTGTTGCTTATAAGTAGGTAGAGTCAAAACATATTAATGGCATGATACATCAAAACACCATTCTAGAAACTTATCCGGGTCATACAAATACCTATGATCAGGGGAAAAAAGTATGCAAATTGATTTCCAAAATAAAATGATGCCATGCTCATATATTGGTAAATGGTAATAGGGTTGCTTGGTAATAGGGTTGCTTATGTTTAAACTCAAGCAGAAGTTATCAAACAATGTTTTCAAGACAAAATCAAAAGAATAACATAAGTAGAATGAAAGATTGAAAGGAAACTATAGAGTAAAGCCACAAAAGCTATCGTAATGCACAAACCATAGTCATGCATAAGTTACCAAAGAATTTTAATTTTAAAAAACCATAACTATAAGGCACGCATATGACATGTTTATACACACTTAAGCAAGAAACAAAAATTACCCTGTCAACACCATTGCAGCTGTCTTCAAGCCGTGTTGGTCAAATGGTTGGCCTGATGTTAGCGAAGAATGGCACTTAAATGCATGATAGCTGTGAGACACAGTATGTAAGGACCCGTATCCATTGTCTGATAAACGGATACCCCAAGAATCCTGCTTCTGAAATTGTAACACAGGAGATAAACTCAAAATCTTTGCTGACAGTCTCTAAACTTCCAAAAGATGAGAGCATCACTAAAAGAGTATTCCTATACATACGTGTTATCTTGCCACACAGTCTAGTAAGAGAATGTTTCCCTATATATACCATCTACAGTACTCCAGACAAGTAACTCAGCCATCATTTCCCCATACAAAAAATTTACATATCCATCTGCTAAATGGGCGAGAAAACAAGTAATAGAATGAAGTACATCAGAATGGTCAATTTTTTTTTATATATGTTAGGAAAACTAATAGAATGTAATGATAGAATGTGATCACTCTTCCTCTGTCCCAATTGGTCCTATCCATTTCTAGGGTCTAAAGTAATAAGGCATGAATCATACCGCAAATCGTGATGTAAGGGCAGTGCTTAATGAATGTAACTTGTCCCTTCCTATTCCACTCTGTGAAGAATGAAATTACTTTAGGATAAAAAACAATCTCTGGATAATAGTGCAATAGAAATTAAAAAAATAAAGTTTTATAGTACCTTATATTGTTCTCGGTACCTCTGATTCTTGCAAAGTCCCAGTTGATGGGACAATTGCAATGAACCAGCAAGAACCATTATTGGGTTGAAATTACCACGTCAGATCATAACACAGCTCAAAAACAGTCTTCAAAAGTCAATTGATATTTGATTAAGTGATCAAGTAGTCTTTCACAACATTGCAACCCCAGAATCAGCTTAAGCTAATCAAATATTCTAACAAGGTCTGAAACAGGAAAAACATATCATCACATTCAAAGTTAAACACAAGAACACTTCTAAATAAAATAAAATCTAGTGAGTGCTCAAATATTAGTAATTTCTTGATGCACGAACTAGCACATAATAGACAAAATATTAAAATGGAAACATGGTAGTTTACCAAAATTCATGACTGACCCATCAACTTTTTACTCTGTAATCTTGTGCTAACATATTTGGTTTATTTACAAGCCTTCATGTTACAATCGAAAACCTCGCCGTGGCTAATATTTGGTGGGTTTGCCCTTCTCAGTGCACCACCCTGTAACTTAAATCTCATCAACACCTCCTAGTGGATGCATTAATTTCTCTACCCACGGGAATGCTAAACTTCTAATAATCAAATCAAACAATCAAATGAATTCATACGATATATTTCAGTTCAAAAGTAACTCTCACTGTAAAATTTCCACTGACCCAAACCCCAAAATTTCCCCTCCATATAAGGAGTTTGGCAAAAGTTCTTGAATTAAACGGTTATATAATTCTAATAAACAGAAAAAAATACAAAAAGGAAAGGAAAATCTGCAGGTGAGGTTAATTCAAAATTCAAAATTCAAAATTAATAAGAGAAACCCTTCCTCCTCACTGACATGATATACAGAAAGAGTTTCAATACGCAAAATCACATTTCAACTCAATAAATTGAGACTCCGCCATGAAGATTCCCATGGCGTAAAGAATTAGCAAGAAATTTCTGGCTTGAAAATTGGAGTTAAAGAGATTACCTCGTAGTCTCGTAGACTGAAAAAAGGACGAAGGGTAAACTCCCAGGCTTCGGAGGCTTTCAATGGAATTTCGAGGCTGGTTTTCCTTTTCTTCAATGGGGAGCCCGAAGGCGACGAGATGACGACAGATGGAAGAATTAAAAATTAAAAATTATGCAACGCCCTTGCAACTTTGCAGAATCAGTATTCGTTCTCTTTTTAGAAAAATGGTGATTCTATTTGGACCCCCTCAGTATTCATTATATTTATTCTCCAACGCTCTCGCGGACTTGCGCCTTGAACTTTTGGGTTTGTTCCATTTTAGTGATTTTCACAGGAAATATGCGGCTTCAGGACTTGGCTCCTATAAATACAATTTTTAGTCACTATTTTGAAAACTTTGCATGAATAGAAGGTGTAAAAACAATTTTATTGACCAATTATCACTTGAGGAGCTCAATCTGCCTGAAGTTGAGAAATAAAAGTCATGTTATTTCTATGCATCATTATCACGTCACAAGCTGAAATCCTACAAATCAGTATTTTTAAATCTCAATTTACTCTTATTCAATAATGGGAACATTTTTTCCTTACCACTTTAACCCAAGGTGCATAATTACCACTTTTTTTAACACTTGACACGTATTCATAAGAATAATCATAATTCTACACATACAAAACAAATAGTTAACTATGATTATACTCATAGACACGTGTCAAGTATTGAGAAGAACGATGAAGATACACCTTAGGTTAGAGTGATGAGCAAAAATATTTCCTTCAATTTCCCATTATAATCACAACACCCACTTAGTCTACCATTTCTTGTCTCCCTCTCTCCTCTATATCTTATATGTTCTATGTGCCTTCACAAAATTCCAACTAAAGATTATGATAAGCAAACTCCACCTATGGAAGAAAATGTAATAATGACAGACACCATCGAGCATAATATAAATAGTTGAACAACTAAGCAAAAGTGGATCAAGGTAGATGGGTAGGAATTAATTGTAGCCAAACAATGCTTTAACTCCATTCCATACGTGTGTTTTAATAATTTCATAAATTTGTTACACAATAATTTCTGGTTTGGTTAGTGTTCTTTTGTTATTTAATGGGTTTATGTGTAATGATTTGAAACTTTCATGGGGTGTTCATGAAATTTTCAAAACCTCAAGGATTTAGGTGAAATACGAAAGACACAAATTCCCAGACGAGAAAGATTGCCCCAATCTCGGCGACCCACGTAGAGTGAGAGAGAGAGAGAGAGAGAGAGAGAGAGACAACTATGGGAGACGATGAGAAAGTGAAGAACGAGGCTCTCCAGATAATCGGGCAACACCAGAACTTGCCCACTCTTGTCGTCTTCGATCTCGATTACACTCTCTGGCCCTTTTATTGCGAGTGCTGCGATGAGGATGAAATGCCATATCTCTATCCACAGGCCTCAGCCATATTATATGCTCTCAAAGACAAGGCCATTTCCATGGCTGTTGCTTCAAGGTCTCCAACTCCTGATATAGCCAAATCATTCCTTCAAACATTGGGCATCCACTCCTTGTTTGTGACCCAGGTTTGTGGTGACCCATTCAACCTTTTTTTTTCTTTTTCTTTTTCCTCTATTGATTCAATTTCAATTGCAATGTTTCTATATTATGCATGGTTTCTTTCTTGGGTTTCAATTGCATTTTGTGTTTTTGTTGTAAAAGAATTGTGGGTATGTTTTCTTTGAACTAAATGGTATTTGGGTTTTTGTTTATGCAGGAGATTTTCTCCAGTTGGACTCACAAAACAGAGCATATTCAAAGAATTCATGCAACCACTGGGGTGCCATTTAGCTCAATGCTTTTCTTTGATGATGAGGATAGGAATATTCAAACGGTAATTTATCTGTCCCCTTGTACAGCCCTCATATTCACATCTAGAACCCATTTAAGATTGATTATGCTAGGTACATTGGAATGAAATAATTTGGATTTGGATTTTTGAGTTTTGACAATATAATGTCATGTTTTGTGTTTGAAATGATTAGATACTATGAGTCATTTGAAATTCATGTCTTTATTCTTTTTCCTTTCCTTCTAATTACATATCCTTATTCATAGCCCTATCAAGCAATTCATCTATATAATGTAAATTAAATTAATCCTCTTTCAACACGGACCCTTAATAAAGATTACTACAATTCGATACATGCTAAGTGTGTTACATTACATTATATTTGCAGGTATCCAAAATGGGTGTGACAAGCACTTTAGTTCGTAATGGGGTGAACCTTGGAGCTTTGAGGCAGGGATTGTTGGAATTCTCTCGAAAGTCAGCTTCATCTAGCCGGAGGTAGTTGAGTTAGTTTGCCCCCCATTTCGGAACTGTAATGCTTAGTGGCATATGTAGTTGCTATTGTTAATACTTCATACGAATGAGAATGTGATGTATTGTAGCTCAAATACGAAGTTTATACATGCTTGTGTACCACCAAATGTAACTATCATTCATAGTACTTCAGATACATTCAACTCATTGACTTGTCATTGGCTAAATGGTACCAGATTCTTATACAGTATGTTGGAAGAATTCATTTATGTTATCTGCTTTGAAAGTTGTGGTGCAGATTGTCTATCTTTTAGATTTTATGACAGTTGATGTTGTTGAGGTCCAGCATTTTATCTTGTCTCTCTTTGTATCTTGCTAGTTATTCAAAATAACGATCGATTTGGAACTCTGCATAGGATGTTATAAAACGTGCAGGTAAGAATATCTATTCTCGCAGAAAAGATGCATTCTGCTATATTCTCATCAAGTAAGATAATTTTTACATCAAATGTATTCAGGACTTCTTTGCATACTTGTTTTGATAAAAAGACAGGTAAACTCCTGAACATCTTCCCATTCTTTTTTCGCTCGATTTTACTAAGACCAGACCCCAACTGATTACATTTGGTTTAGCATTTCAACACATAAATTATCAAGATTGATACTTCCAGTTAACTGGTGTAATTAACACCAGAACAGTAAGAATTGTAACAGGCACATGTAACGCACATGCTTTTGATCTTCCGGAAATGCTCTCAAATACCACTATTCATGTAGCAAAGTCCTTAAATAGTAGTATTATTGTGGCAAATTGACAATATCGACAGTATTGACACAATATTGATAATTTATTTATGTCATATTAAAATATTTCATGTCGAAGTAATGGAACAATATCTACGGTATCTATATCTATAATGGGACTTCAGTTTTAATGCTATTTCAATATTCAAGAGCATTTCCCTTGATCTTTTCTAATTGAGGTCTCTTGCATGCACGTGTAATGCATCCATATGAGAGCAAAAGTAATTCAATGGTTGGCTAAGGAAAATCATCTCAGAGATTCAGTTTCAGAATGCACCAAATTAAAGTTGTATGAATTGTTAAAGTTGATATATTCAAAAGTTTTGAAGAAGAAAGAAAAAAAAAATGTTTTTCGAAAGGAAAGAATTCGCAACATAACCTTAAAAATTGAAGAGACATTAGCTGAAGCATATAAGCAAACTAAAATTACTTGCTTACAAGGAGAAATCAAATTTGTGGAACTTGTTCTAGTCATAAACAAATTACTTACACGCATATGGATCATCATACACAAGCTAAAAAATCCATGGTTAATAATTGATGTTCTGAATCATATATTGGTTACAAGCTAATTGTTGAGGTCTCTAAATGGAGATCTTCTGTCAGAAATTGCTTCAGATATCTTCATCACGGTAGGCGTACAAACATTCTCTTGTTCTGGATCAACAAGCTCATCATTCCATTTTAAATCCATTCCGGAACCTTTGTTGTCAAAAGAGAGCATTATCTTATCCAACATGCTCGTCAGTTGTTTATCTGTACTGGAGAACTCGCCGATCTTATCACCCAGCCCTCCAATAAACACCAATAAGTTTTCCTTTTCTGATGACAACTTAATGACATCTTCAAGTAAATTTCTTCTTTCACTTTTTAGCTCCTCAATCAAGGCATCTGAGTTTATCAGCTTTGTCTTCATTTGATTAGTCAGTCTCTTCACTTCTAGCTCTTTTGTTTCCAGTTCAGCTTCAGCCTCCAATGCTTGTTGTTTTGACTCACACAAGGATGTTTGCTGTGATTCCAGTTTCTGCTGTATATTACAGATTTCCTCCTCAAGTTCCAGAGCCATCAACTTCCTTTCTTCAATTTCAAGTGCAGCCATAACCTCAGCAGCAGTGATTTTCTCCCAAGCTTCGTGTATCAGATCAATTTCTGCCTGTTTCTCAGCTAGCTGTGAAGAGAAAGAATCTAATGAGCAATTAAACTTATGTTCCAAGGACTCCACAAGCTGCATGAGATCATTCACTCTCTGGTATTTCTGTTCTACACGTTGGATGAGCTTCTCTTTCTCATGCTCAAATGTTCTCTCTGCATCAATTTGTGCCATCACAGCACTTGTGAATTCTATCCTCAATGATTCTTGCTCTAGCCAGCTAATCTCTTTCTCCAGTTGCTCTAAGGTCTTGTCCTTCTCTCTAGCGATTTGGAGAAATATTGAATTCTCTGATTCAAAAGACATTACTGTTTCTGTCTTTACGGAATTAGCTTCCTTTGTATCTAACCTCTCAAGCTTCTGCTCCAGTAACACAATCTTCTGCTGGAGGTTATCTATTATTTTGTCTTTCTCTTCAAAAATACAAAAAAGACCATTTTTCTGTTGCTTGGTGGTTTCCCCGACATCTACCTGTGCAAGAAGAGAAGCTTCCAACTCTTTACGCATTTCAAGACTTACTTCAAGATCACTTCTTAAGCGCTCTGCAATCGATTTCCATATTTCCAATTCAAATTCAATTTCATTTCCTTCACAGATTTTCTCAGCCAACTCAGTATTTGTTCTCTCTAAGGCATCATTAACTTCTCTAAGTTCCTTTTTAAGAACGCTTTCCATCTGCGAAACTTGCTGATTCAAGCGAAGTTCATCCTTTTCACACTCTTCTTTGACACCTGTCTGTACTGTTGTAAGAACAGCATTCTTTCTCTCCAGCTGCTGCATCAGTTGAGAAATATTTTGTTCTTTCTCTTTTTCACGCAGATCCATTTCAAACTTACCATTCACAATCTTCAGTTGAGCCTCAGAAATTCCAAGTTTTAAAACCAATAACATGACAGAAAGCTCCTCATTTTCCAACTTCAGCTGCATACTTAGAGAATGACAGGCTTCCAACTCCATCTTGAGCTCTTTTATCATTCCATCTTTATACTCTAGCTCAGACAAATAGTTTCTCACATCACTTGTCATCTTTTCTAGTTGAGAGTTCCATTCAGCTCCTTCGGCCTCATTTGTTGTACTGTCCCTGTGCATCTGCTCCACTTCCATCCTGAGTTCTTTTAAGGCAGCATCTCTACTCTCTAACTCAGATCTAGAGTTGTTCAGCTCCACTCTCATTTTTTCCAGTTGAGAGCTACATTCATATTCTTTGGCCTTAAGATTTGATGTGCAGTCTCTGAGCATCTGTTCCAGTTCCATCCTGAGCCCACTTATTGCTGCATCTTTACTCCCTAACTCCGACTTATGTTTGTTCAATTCCCCTGTCATGCTTTCCAGTCGAGAGCTCCATTCAGCTTCTTTCGCCCTATGACTTGCAATACAATCTCTGTGCATCTGCTCCAGACTTTTGAGCTTGTTTCGCAGCTTTGCGAGAGAAGGTGAACCTGGTGCTGCTTGGATTTGGGCTTCCTGCAGTTCTTTGAGAGAAATTCGCAACTCCTGATTTTCTTGCTGCAGCTTCCCTGTCTGATATTCCATTTCTTTATAAAATGTCTCTTTGGTGCTTAGAGACTGTCTTAGAGATGCAATTTGTTTGTCCCTCTGAGCAGTCAAGCATTCCAGTTGCGATTTGGCATCCTCGCGCTCAGAAAAGACATTCTCAAAGCGTGTTTGGAATTCAGAAACTTGAACTTCCAGATACTTTCTCCGGCTTTCTTCATGAGCCAGGGCTTGGTTGCACCTCTGCAGCCGGTTTTGAAGATCATTTGAAATTCTGGTTTGAGAATCTAAGCTTGTCTGCAATGAACAAATCTCATCAAGCAATGAAGACTTCTCCATCTCCCATTCCTTCTTACTTGCCTTGAACTGTTCTCGGAGCTTGTCATGTGCTTCTTCTAGATGTCTGAACTGCTCCTTCTTCCATTTTAGCTGATCTTGAACCTTCTGATTGTCCTCCTCTAGTTTGAGTATCACATCATCTCTCTCTCTTAGTTCTTTGGGTGCATTAGCTTTCTTCTCAGCTTCAGAACATTTCTTCTGTGAAACTGATAGACGGCCTTTAAGGCCTTCAATCTCTTCTCTATATGCAAAGATTGTTTTCTCTTGATCCATTTTCTTCTCATTTGCCTCATCTAAAGCCAATACCATCACTCTGTTTGTATCTTCCAATTTTCGGGACTTCTCATCACAACCAACCCGAAGTTTATCGTTTGCAGCTCTAAGATGTTGGACTATGGACTCTTTATCTTTCAGACTACATTTAAGTTCTTCACACATGTGCTGTGCCACCGAGATTTCCTCTGCCTTCTCATTTAGTTCTTGAGCCTGCTTCTCAATTTTCGAACTTGCCTGCTGGAATTTAGTGAGCTGCTCATTGTGGGCTTTCCTCAAGTTTTCGGATAATTCTGCTTTGCTTTTATATTCTGCCCTGACCTTCTCAAGCTCAGCTTTAACTTCGTCCAGCTCTTCACAAACCTTGTCCATATTCTTTCTTTCAGGAGTATGAATTTCCAGATTACGAAAAACTACCTGTTTTCAAGAAAAACATAAATTAAATATACTTATAAGCAGGTATTATGCGCATGCCTAAACTCAACAGAATATGAATTGAAAACAATGCAGCTAAAGTAATAGGACTGGAAATGGCAATCATGCTTGGACAGCTCCAGAACCATGATCCTCTTTCTTTCTGCCCTTTCCTTTCCTTACGAAACGAACCAGAGGCTTTTTAGTTTCTAGTAATATTAATTCTAATAAAGAATGTCAATAATTTAGCTCATACTAATATGTGATTCTTTCACCCGAATAGGTGAATCTTGCGGAAAATTTGTGCAGTTGTAAAGATGTCAAAGACATTGATACTTCAGCAAAAGATGAAACATTTGTGTTTTTAGTTAAGCTGTGTGGATAAATGTGTCTGGAAACTCAAATTAACTCCTAGAAAATAATGAGGACCAAAAGGAATCCAAGGATATTCTGAACATACACGTATATAGAAGGAAAGAACTGATAAACAGAATGATCTAAAGCTATAGAGTCATTGTCAATTCTTTGGCTCAGCCATTGTTGTTAAGCCTTGATCCAGAGAAAAAATCCCCATAAAATCTGAATACGGAAAATGCATGCTTTGTTTGTTTGCTGAGAAAATGTGAGAAACAGAAAGAAACTAATATCTTGAATCTTTCAAATTTCCAACTTGAGGATGCTAATACCTCCCTTGTACTGAGCCAAACACATAATCAAAGCGAAAATAAAACCCAACAGAGAACAAAAAAGAACAAATCAAGATTTTATATTTGTTTTGTCTTCATTTTCTTCTTACTGTTAGCAACCAAACA